AGTTGCTCTGCCCCAGGCTTCCTGGAATCAGCCGATGATCAGTTTCAGCAGCGGCTGACTTGGAGACGCCTGGGTTTCTTAAGTTGATTCTGTATGTAAGTCAGAACTGGCGTCCAGATTCAGCCGCGGTTGAAACTGATCAGTTTCAGCAGTAGCTGATGCCAGTTCCGACTTACATACAGATTCAACTTAAGAACAAACCTACAGTCCCTATCTTGTACGTAACCCGGGGACTGCCTGTACCTCCTTTTTTGAGGCATAAGGCAGGGGTTCTCAAACTTTGTGATACCTCGACCCCCCTCTAAGTTGCTTGCGATACCCCAGGGGGTTGGGACCCACAATTTGAGAAACGCGAGCATAAGGGATCTTGCGCAAAAGGAAAACAGACCCGTCTACACTGCTTGTTTTTGCGCAAAAACCTCTTGTGCAAAAAGCATTGGCAGAGAATATGCAAATGACAGCATGACAAATGCTAATGAGCACTTCATTAGCATACCCTTGCCGACAAATACCTGCAGCGTAGACATAGTGTGAGTGACACAGTTAAGTTTGCCTAACCCCTGGTGTAGAGGGTACTAAGTTTTTCTGTTAACTCAGCTAATGCCTGTATTAACTCTAGTTAAGGGTACAATTGTGTCATGGACTGTTTTGGTAAAAGTCAGAAAGATCATGGGCAATAAACAAAGACTCATAGAAGTCATGACCTGTCCCTGACTTTTACTGAACATGTTCCTGACAAAATGAGATGAGAGGGAGGGAAGGTCCAGGATCCTACCCCACCATTGCTGGGAACTCCAGTGACTCCATTACCTAGTGGCTAAGAGAGTTCCCCATGTCACCCAGTGGAGAGCTGGTCTCCCCACTGTCCTAAGGCGCTGAAAGCTGCAGGGGGTACCCCCTGCTGCTCACAGTGGCAGGGCAGCTGCAGACAACCCCTTGCCAGTGAGGCAGCTGAGGAGATGTGAAGGTCCCTCTGCTGCCACCGGCTGAGAGCCGCTTCTGCCCACAACCACTGAGCAACTCAAGGGTCCCTCTGCCATTGATGACAGCAACTGGGTGCTGCAGGAGACCCCTGGCTGCTTGTGGTGGCTGAGCCACTGCCAGGGGACTGCTATGACCCAGTTGCTGGGCAGCTGCATGAGGGTCCTCTGCCACATGTGGAGACTGGCTACTGTGGGACCCCCAATGTCATGGAGCTTGCTGGAAGTAATGGATTTTGTGACACTGACAATCTTAGCCTTAGAGAGAAGGGAGAACCCCTCTCACTGCTGCAGTGAATATCTGCACTGAAGCTGCATCACTGTACCAATTTAAGTGTAGCTACAGCCATACCATTCTAATGTAATGGTCCAGAACTCTACAGCTCCCAGTAGAGACCCTGAAGAGGTCTTGGGCAATTAAACTGGTTTTTAAGCAGACTTCCAGGGGGCTTGAATCTTCTGGCTTTTTGGGATAGGAGTGAAAGCATGAATGAAGTGGAACAGGGTATTTGAGAAGTCAGGCTGCTAGCATATCCTATAAAACCCATGAAAGACTAGGGGAAGTAAGTGTTCAGCTATCTGCAGTCAGCTCCTTCTCCCTGTTTTTTTCACCTGCATAACATGTTGTCCCTGTGTGCAGCAAAACAGTATTGAAGCATCTGGGGCAGAAGTCTGTGCCAATGTTCCTCTACATTGTGGGGACTTACAATTTTGGATAGGCCTGACTGCTTGCAACTATGCTCATACCACCACTTGGGTCTGCAGAAGAGCCATGTAACTCTGGGTACCATAGTATTGCCACAAAACTGAACTTTCAGACTTCTGCAGCAGTGTCAAATAGGAACATAAACATTGGAGGAAACACACAAGTTAGCACGTACTGTGGTTGATCCCATGTAGACCTGGGTGGCAGGAATGTAATGTGTTCTGTCACTTCCATGTGACTTATTAATTCAGTCTTAGATTGAAACTTCTCCATGCAGTTGTAACATCGACACTGGTGGATTTCCCTTCTGATGAAATTCACTAATTTCACTTGCTGATAAAACTTCAAACCTGGCAAATAGCAAAAAACAACACCTTAAGAGATACAAAATATGAAGAAGCAGGAAGGAACTTTACTGAAGGCATACATAAGCAGAGTCCTATAACTCTGCAGAGTTTGTTCCTGAATGCTTTCTTGTAGCTGAAGCAGAAGTGGTCAGTAATAGAGCTTAACAGTTAAGGAAACTGTTTCCCTTCACTGCATGGAAGGGAGCCCGATGGCTTTTGGGCACAGAGTGCATTGTGCTTCCTGTTACATAAGGACGAAAGAACCCCGTACAGCATTTTAAAAATAATGATGGCACGGAACTGCAGAAGTTATTCCATTAAAGAACCCAACATTTCAAGAGAATATAAAGTACCCTGGCATAGCTATTTCATGAGAAGCATTGACCACAGTTTCAAAAAAATTAGCCTTGGTTGTCCTTTGTCAGCTGACTATGGAAACTTTCCATGCTCTCCAGTATTCTTGTGCTGTGGTTTTCTCTACTGTCATGGTCAGCATCTGTCATTAGTGTACCTCTTACTCACCATGCTCTGCCTTGATTTTAAGAAGGTCAAATCCATGTGCTTCCTGGAAAAAAACCAAAACAAACCATAGTGTATTACCACTCTCTCTAGTATTTTAGGTTGAAGCAGCTCAATTTTTAATAGTAAGGCAAACACAGATAGAGATCTCTGGATTTGTCAGAAAGTTTATGTGGTTAATTTAACATCTAAGTTTCAATTCTGTAGCGTGTTTTACTGTAGTAAGTGCTAAGTCTGCAAATCACTGTAGTTAATAACATTTTATTGCAGTCTCTATCATCTTGCCATGTTTTCAGTCTGTAAACTTGACAGAGATGGTGATTCATATGCTCATTGTAAAACTTGGCTGCAATGAATTTTCTATAAAGCAGCCACTGGAGATGTAATGACTATGTTCTGCACTAAAGAGAGCATTCTACTATTGCCTGTTGCATTCGTGGTACAAGAGAAGACCTGATCTCAGTGTTGTCACAATCCTACTTTTCACTTCCAACTGATAAAACAAATGTGTTTTTAACATATTTGTGCCTTACTTTCATGTGAAGACACAATTTTTCTGTAGTTTCTGCTTGCTTTTCACAGAAGAGGCAAACTGCAGAGACAGGATGCTCTTCCCAATCAGACCAGTCTCTGTGATGAAGGAAATAAGGTGATTAATTGAAAAGAGCTTGAAGAGACTTTATCTGAAAGATATGGATAGCATGAGCAAAATTTCCTCTCACTGATCTAGTACGAGTGCACAGTAAGTAATTTTACTTCAGTCAAGTTACCATAGTTTGGATTTATTATTAATTCTATTATTATAGTGTCTAGGAGCCTTAGGATGGACTAGCCTGTCAATGTTTTATGTTGGTACAATTTAGCCCCTTGACTAAAAAATACAAAGGTAAAGGTTATTAAAGGGTCAGAATTGTTTTTTACAGTTACAGTACCATAGATTCAGAGTAAGTCTACTGACTTCAGTATAGCTATCCAAGTGCAACACACCGTGTTGCTGGAATTTAGCTTTTGGAAGCTGTGAGGCATACTATTCTGGGGAACTCCCCGGAAGAGAAGTACTAGAGCTCCTTGCTGGGCTACTAGGGCTCTGAACTGCTGTCCAATTACCTCCATTTGGAGTTAGTACTGTGATACTACTGCAAATAGCAGTGCAGGCAAATTCTGTAATACTTAAGTAAATCAAATCCAGTAAGCTACAGCAAATTGTTTAACTGAATATTTCCATGAAGAGTCTCACATCTTATGGTGCTTCCCTAATACTCTGAAATGATAATAGAACACTAGAACTGGAAGGGACCTCGAGAGGTCACAGAGTCCAGTCCCTTGCCCTCATGGCAGGACCCAGTACCATCTAGACCATCTCTGCTAGATGTCTATCTAACCTGCTCTTAAATATCTCCAACCTCCCTAGGCAATTTATTCCAGTGTTTAACCACCCTGACAGTTAGGAACTTTTTCCTAACATCCAACCTAAACCTCCCTTGCTGCAGTTTAAGACCATTGCTTCTTGTCCTATCCTCAGAGGCCAAAAAGAACAATTTCTCCCCCTCCTCCTTGTGACACCCTTTTAGATACCTGAAAACCTCTATCACGTCCTCTCTGTCTTCTCCTTTCCAAACTAAACAAGCCCAATTCTTTCAGTCTTCCTTCATAGGTCATGTTCTCTAGACCTTAATCATTCTTGTTGCTCTTCTCTGGACCTTCTCCAATTTCTCCACATCTTTCTTGAAATGTGGTGCCCAGAAATGGACACAATACTCCAATTGAGGCCTAATCAGCGAAGAGGAGAGCGGAAGAATGACTTCTTGGGTCTTAACTCTCATACAGAGCTTTCACCTAAGTACTTTACCTAAGCTCATTTATCAAGCTTTGCTATAGCTATGTGGGGTAGAAAAGTATTATACATGTAGGTAAACTAAAGTTCAAATTACACGCAGAACCAGGAACAGTCATCAATAGACTTGCTGCCTAGTTCTGTACTTTAACTACAAAATGCTTCCTACTTAGTAATGATTTCCTTTATTCGCTTAAGTAAGGTTGAACATTTGCCCAGCTTTAATGAGAAGTGAAAAACAATTCAGCCATTTCTGAGTATTAAGAAAAGGGGAAATATGCTTTACACTCTACCCACATTATAAAAAGTTTCTGATAATCTTCATTTGAACAGTTCTGTAGTCAAAACAGTTTGTGATTGAAAGACTAAATTTGGCTTGTAAGTAGCCCTCACTGAAAAATGGCTTTGAGAAGTGCTCTGATTAAAACCGAGCTTGTTTTTGTCTGTTATGCATCTTTTCAAATTGTATACTGAGCATGAAGTGTAGATTCCCACCCCCTCATTAAACTCTCAATTTATGTAAACTCTTACTCTTCTAGGTTATCTAGCAATTCTCGATCATCTTCTGATTGTACTTCCTCCCAGGACTTTCCAAATTCCTAGAAACACAAGATAAAAGGAAAAGTAACTTCCACACAGGTGCCACATTTTAAGAAATCAATAAATACATATAAAACTTTTAAAGTCTCAGAGGGGTAATTTTGTTAATCTGTAACTTTGAAAAAAATCAATGAATGAGTAGTCCTGTAGCATTTTAGAGACTTAACACCTTACACATGCATGCACACAGAGTCTCATGAGATTCCATGGGTAAAACCCACTTTCTCGATGAATGGAGAAAAAGAGTAAAGCTAAGTCAGTAAACATCTAAGTTTTCATTTACTCATATATTGGTGGATTTAAATTCATGATATATGCTTAATTATTTTAAATGTAACTATTCCATCTTGGTCATTAAGAAAAATGAGTGAGATGCCCGATTTAAAGGAAAGTCATATTTGCCCCCTTAGAGATTCAAAGCTGAACTTGAATACGCATGGTATTCCCATCCAATCCTTTTGGATCTCAGAGGACATTACAACTGTCAATATTAGAGCTGGTTGAAGATTAATTTTTAATAAGTCATCCCCCCCCCTCCGCTGTGAATATGACAAAAAGAAGTGTATTTTCAGATCTACTGCTTACACAGGAGCAAGTCTACATCATGAGTATAAGTGAGATGCACTCCAAAACGCAGTAACACAATGGTACTCCTATACTAGATCAAACCGAAGGTCCAGCTAGCCCAATATACTGTCTTCCAATAGTGGCCAATGCCATGTGCTGCAGAGTGAATGAACAGAACACATAATGAAGCCATTCATCCCTTGTTATCCATTCCCAACTACTGGTAAACAGTTATGATTCCACTCATCAAGTATTAATACAAGATTGTCACCTCTTCTGGTTTCTCCTGCATAAAGGAAGGGGAGAGGACCCTAACTTTTCTTCCCCCCCTGCGAGCTATAGGTGGGTCAGAAATTCCCATTCATATGTGCCCACTTGCTCGGTGTGTTGTCTGACACTTGCATGGAGCATCAGGTAGCTTGAGGATCATAACTTTAATAAGCATTGTACCTGTTTTACCTCTCAATAGGAACAGGGAACAGTGTTATGATCCGACACATGGTCCTCTCCAGAGTGACATGTAGGCCAAGTGTATATGCTGGGAGTGCTTTCTTGGTGTAGGCATACTGGTATATTACACAGCAAAGAGCTCCTAGTGCAGGTGCAGCTTCTACTGAGAAAGCTGTGCTGGTACAGCTTATTCCCTCCCATGGTGAGTGAAATAAGCAGCTTTACCAGTAGATTTGCTGCTGTAACTCAGTCTACACTAGGGAGTTCTGCTTGCACAGCCAGTCGGGGATTATACCTCTTCACAGCCGAGACATATGGTTGCCAGCTATGGACCCTGCCATAGAGTACTGCAGAGTGACTGTGGGACCTAAGAATTAGGACATAGGGCTGGAACCAGTGTTCCATCTAATCTTTTCCATCCACACGCAGAATACATTTATGTTCATGAAGGCATGTGTGAATGTGCACCACCCAACAGAAACAACCTTGGTTCTATTCTCAGCTCTGCCTTGGACTAGGTATGTGACTGTAACCAAGTCACATCACCTCCCCTTTGCGTTGTCTGTGTTGCCCATCACTTTGTTTGCACAGTGCTTAGCAAAATGGGGCTCCATTTTTAGCTATGACCACTAGGTTCTATTGTAATATAAATTACAGAGCCAGTCCTAGGCTGAAGACAATATTGTTCTAGATCCCAACAGTCATGCTTTAAACTTCTCTCTCTCGTGTTTCTTTCCATGAAAGCATCTTAATGCCTTCTAATAAAATCAGAACCCACAATTTAAGGTTTTTTTTGGTCCTCATACTCTTATACTTGTGGTTTATACACATCATATTTAATTATCTTGGCTCCAGATTTTTGACATCTCAAACGCATATAGGGGAAACTTAATCAACGAGCGTGAATATTTGAACATGTTCTGTTCTAGCACAATACTCAGTCACTCTAATAAAGATATTCATTATTAAATATACCCCCATAACAAATGCTATTATTGTCAATGTGTTTTTATGAAGAGAAAGAAAATAAAGCTATCCATCATTTAACAGCTTAATGAGAATTTACAAAGCTGTTACAATCTCTCAGGTAAATGGAGCACACACAAACATCTCTGGATAGCCCTTAACATGATGCCATTACCACTTATAGAATCAAGATTCAGTAATTAATTCAGAGATGTTACGCTCTAGTGTGTAAACTCTCCAAGTTACAGTGGAGACTCATTAACGTCACCATTCATCTGAGATAATGTGCAGCTATTAACACCTCTCCCCACACTTGTCACAGCTGCACACCACCATTTCCTATGGAAACCGTGGCTGCCAACACCACAGCCTGTAATGACAAGAGAGTAGCTCATGCCTGTAAAATTAACACATGTTTTCACAGTTTTTCTTCCCTGCTACTCTGAAGTCTCTGGGTAAAACAGAGCATATTCAAAAGAAAAGGAAAAAAAAATCAAGCTTTATCACTTTGGGTTAAATGTGACTGCAAAAGGGGGAAGGGGAGAAATAACTGGATATAACCTTTTATTTCTTTATGATATTTACACAGAAGGCAGAGTACCCAAGAGGGGTGTGCATGTGTGCGAGAGAGAGAAAGCCTCCATGATGTGGTAGTGTTTTATGTAAAAAACAAATTCTGCTCTTCCCTGGTGGTGAGTAGTAAACCAGTAGAGTTATATCATCTTAAGAATCAAGAGACTGGAGGGAAGGGACTTTTAGTGAGACTGTTAAAAATTCTTTGGAGGTTTTTTTCAGGGGGGCGGGGGAGTGCGCTTATGTTAATGCACATTTAAATTCTGTCTAATGAGCACCCCAGCAAAGGATGTCTAAAAACCCTCAGTCTCTGCCTCATTTGAGACGTAAGAAATCTATAAATATCTCAATACCCCCTTTAGCTTTTCCCCTAATTTGCCAAAGGAAATAGACTTAATATTGTTAATAGTTCAAAAAGTTTTAAAAAAAAACCACCCACATTTTAAAACAGCAGTCAGTCCTTTTTATATACCACAAAGAAGAAGAATTCCCCCTCGAATTAAAAAACCAAAACCTAAACTAAACAAAATCACTAAGAGCAGTTTTTGAAACTTCTTTTGCAGCTCACCTTTAAGAGCAGGGCCCTGTGTAAAATGAATTCCACAGGCAAGAGTGGCTGCATATTTTACTGTTTCCCTCCTCCAAGATGCAGCATGAATCCACAAAGATGGATTTTCCTGCCATTTCCTATCACTTTTACAGTTCCACAGATGTCGGACTGCATGCCTAGCTAAGGGAACGTGCACCATCACAAGAAGGGGCCAAAGAGGTGGCACGGGGGACTTATCGTAGCAGTCTGGGCCAAGCTGGGGATGTATAGCCCAGGATCATTAGGGTGATACAGGAGTCCTTTAGCCTGTGTAATTTGGTGTCCATCTGCTCCACAGAGTGTGGGTTGCAGTGGGTCAGTGGTTATGGAGCCAGATGCAGTGCAGCTCGTGCTTCTGTCTCAGGGGACAGCAGATCTGAGGGTGTCTGAGCAGGGTCAGGACGGCTCAGAGCTTGTGGAACAAGCAGTTACAGGGTCAGTGGGCAGGATCTGTGTTTGGCACAACAGGCAGTCATGGAGTTTGTGGAGCAAGGGGCAGTGGGGCAGGATCAGGGAGCACGGAGTGGTGGGGCAGGATCCAGGGAAATGGGAGGTTGTCAATTTAAGTCAGGGGCCACTGGGACACAATGTGCCAAAGATGGTAGTGACAGTGGATGCAGAACATGCTCCAGGCAAGACAGAGATAGCTGACAAAAGAAAGTTGGCAGAGAAGGTGTTGGGAAGTGGGAGATGGTGGGAACTAGGGTGACAGGCTTGGCAAGACAGACTTGTGAGGTAATGGGGTTAGTGGGATATAGGAGATATCAGATGGCAAGTTTAATAGTACAGAGACACAGAGTACCAGGGTTGGCTGGAAGGGGTCAGAGGTTTCTGGGGTTGGACGTAGAGGGATGTGCAGTGACAAGACAGGGTCAGCGGGTTGGCAGACCAGTAACATTTTATTTTTGTATTTGCATATTGGTTATTTGCATAATAAACATGCAAATAAAATGTTACTGATCCTCCAAAGTTTGTGAATGGGTTTGCTACTCCGCGGTATAAAGAAAGTTGGGAACCGCTGCTGTACAGTAACCAACGAAGCAGAACATGTGATTTATCATCAGGGCAGCACAACAAAAGCTACTTTTAAGTCATGTCATCTAAGGAATGTTGGTAATTCAGAAGATGACTTACTGATACCTGACTGCATTTACATACTTCCCTGCTACGTCAAGTAGGCTACTTAAGATAAGAAAGGACCCATACACAAAACAATAAGCCATAAAATGCAAACTTCTCAGTTCAGAAAGGAGATCCTCACAATTAATTACACTATAAATGCTAATGAAGCCAAAAGCATAATACAGAAAAAACAAGGATATGTTCCTCTTCCAACTGAAGTCAATGGGAGCTTTGCCACTGACTTCAATGGGAGCAAGAATGGGCCTCAAGTTTGTGAGGCAATTCTATAAACGCTCTCAGTAAATATGAACAAAAAGACCTATTTAAAACGTCCCCACAAAAACAAAAAAGCTCTAGTCCTGAGCCAACTATAACTGTAAAGACTATTTAACACAGTGCTCTGTGAAGGTGCATATATGAAGCAAAATTATAAAAAAGAGCAGGCAGATACACACAAGTGTATTTTAAAAAGGAATCTCTTTAATTACAATCATGTATAAATAGGTTTCCAAGTAAATAGGTTAAGATTCAGCTACCATTTGAAGAGGTTTATTGTGTTCATTTTAAAAGGGTTGATAGTTAAAACAATATTATAATGGTGCCTACTACTAGAAATCCATTTTTGCGCACTAAGCTTTGCAAAAGTGACATTTGGAAAGGCAGAATATTTGCTATATAATTCTGTCAACTCTCTGGTTTGTCTAATGACCAGAAAAAATCTGCCCCAAAACCAAAAGTGTCACATTTGACTGGAAGTCACAAATCTTTATATCAAGCCTTGTTCTGTAATGGGATGATAGACATGTAATAGCCACATTCTGTTAGCTATTGAAAGCTGAGAATCTCTTGGACATTTCAAGTACAGCAGGGGAAAGAGCTTTCACAGGAGATGAAAAACTAGAACATCTTACTGTGGTTTATCTTAAAATGGTTAAACATCTCTACCAAAAATGCAAGAAGTTGAGGAACAGCCCTTTGTTATGCCATTATGGAAAGCAGGCTGTAGGCAGATTCAGGTTCTGATGCTGAACCTGGATACTACTAAAACAACATTAACATTATTACTATGGCCCAAATGCGTACAGTAGGAGCTAATCTTAGGTCTTTGTGAGTGGTACAGGATAATCCACTGAAACATTATTGAGCATGTTACAGTCTGCATTCTCTTTAATCTTATTGCCTCCGCTGTGTTAAAAAACATATAAATGCACCAGAAGACACTAGGGGAATGTTTACACTACAGGACGAAGCTAAGTTAAGATGTGCAACTTCAGCTATGTTAATTGCGTAGCTGAAGTCGAAATAGCTTAATTCAGCTTTTGGCGCTGTCTACATTTGCAGGAAGTTGAAGGAAGAACACTCTTCCTTCAACTTTCCCTTACTCCTTGTGAAATGAGGGTTACAGGAGTTGGCATAAGAAGTCCTCCAGCTCAACATTATTTCAAAATAATGGCTTGTAGTGTAAACGTGCACTATGTTATTTTGGAATAACATCAGCTATTCTGAAATAATGCTGCTGTGTAGACGTACCTTTAGGGCTCATCTAGGCTACACTAGAGTGTCGAAAGAGGATACGCAAATTCCATGGGAATTTGCATATTTTCTTCTGATCTCACTTTTGAAAGTAGAGCTTTAGAAAGTGAAAGTAGATTTTTTGGCGACCACCCCCTTGTCGAAAAGCCGCATAAACTTCTTTTTGAGGAAGAGTGGCTTTTCCAACAAAGGAGGAAAGGGTTCGCTGAAAAAGCCATGTGTAAACTACTTTTACTTTTGAAAGCTCTGCTTTCGAAAGCGAGGTTGGAAGAAGATACGCAAATTCCCGCAGAATTTTTGCATCCTCTTTCGACACTCTCGCGTAGTCTAAATGCGGCCTTAGAGTATAAGCACCTTCAGAGCATATGAGACTGTCTAACACTACAGAGTGATAACTAAAGGAAACCTTTATATCATCCCACAACCACATTATTCATTACATATTTTACAGTAAACTGCTTACAAATGTTTCAGAGGCTGTGTTTGTTTTCATAATATCTATAGTGTTTCGTAACTTCTCATCTACATCGGCAGGCTAGATGGAGTGTCTACCCCAGCCACAGCAGTGAGCCTCCCAGTCTGAGCTAATTTAGGCTTAGATTTATGCTTGTGGGGCTTGTGCTAATGCTTTAAAAACAGCTGCACAGATAGCACTTTGAAGTTGCTGCTTGGGCTGGAACTCAGGCTCTGAAATCAAGAGACGGGGTGGCTTTTGGAGTATGAGGTCTAGCCTGAGCTGAAACTTGAAAGCACTGTCTACACTGCTATATTTAGATTGCTAGCACTAGCTCAGCTATCCCAAATCTGTCAGCCTGGTCTAGGGGGCTTGCTGAAGCACTCTGTGTAGACATATCCTTTTGGTTCAAGCTACAAGGGATTCCGAAGGAGAGATTTTAGAATCTTGTAATAAAACCCAATGTAGTTTTTCTGTACACAATTGTGGCACAATTACAAGATCAGATATTTGAGACCTTGAATCTATTGTTGAGAAGGAGTCAAGAAATATTGACTCTGCATGTCATTGGGCGTGGGCTGATTCAGACCTCTTGCACCTCACACCAGTGTAGTTTTTTAAGGAGAAAGGAGGAAACCATTGTGAGATACATTTTAAAGAATGGTAGATAGCTGGCAGCAGCTCAAAGATTTGAAAGGTTTTATGTAGGGTCGCAATAGTGTAGCTGGTTAAACAATTAATGCTTATCGGTTAATGCTACCAGCTACGTGCAACTCCCATTTCCAGCTCTGTATTCAAAGTGTTTTGGGAGCTGGTGTGCAGGCATGCTGATTCAGTTCAGGTTCATACCCGATTCCAGCAGCTACCCCCACTGTGGCTCTGCATTTAAAGGGGCTTGAGAACCAGCAGGCAGGCTTTAAATGCAGAGCTGCAGCAAGGGTAGCTGCCAGGATCCGGCGCGAGCCAGGACCGAGCAAGTGTGCCTACCTGCAAGCTCTCAAGCTACCTTAAATGCAGAGCTGCTTATCGGTTAAATCATGCAACTGACAAAATTTGTGTCAGCTACACGATTACCAAATTATATGCTTCCTAACAGCTCTAGTTTTAAGTACTGGATAGAAGTAGGGTAGTGGGCAAAGTGTAGTCAAATGGAAATGATAAACAAAAAATACATTCTGATAAAATGTGGTGTAGAGGCTATGGGATGGCTATGTTTGCTAACGAGTGGCAGAGCCAGGGCAGTTATGGTCATTCAAAACAAGTGTCAATAAAACCTTGTTAAAACATGACCACAAATACTATATATGTCATGATACTGAAAAGCTATTCAAATATTTGAGACTTTGCATTTTTCTTGAACTACTTTTAGTACCCCTCACCCTTAAAGGACTGGTTTATAGGCAGTGTCTTTGCTGCAGCATTAGCCTAGGTGATCAGCACCTGGGTTAGCCTACCCTGCATTCAAGCAGGCACACTAACTTATTGTGTTCTCACTGTGCTGTATTTACCCACGTGTGTTGCTTAGACTTCTAGAGACACATCCATGGTTCTTTGTGTAGCAGAAAACAGACACTGCATGATTCTTTCCCAGAGAATTGTGGAAGACCTTGTCTATCGTTATGGACACACAGTCCTCCGTTCCTTCCCGGTTCTCCTATCAGTCCTCAATTATTTATCTGGCATCTACATTGCCAAGTAGAACCACACTCAAACCCCTATCTCCAGCTGGGCCAGCTAAATCAAACTCAAATGAGAAGATTTTGTGTGCAGATGGGAACGGGTTAGGAAAAACACTGAAGAAAGAACCCAGCCTAACTGCAGTGAAGACATACTGTTATAATTATAGGACTATGAGGGAGCCGTGAATCCTCTAAATTTACCTGAAGTAGTGTCTTAAACTCCCCTCACCAACACACACAATATCATATTTAAATCTGATAACTCAGGATCTTGCAGAGCTGGAAACAAACACTTGACCTGTTAGAAGCCTTGGAATCCCTTCTTTCCAATTAAAATCAACCTCTAATTTCTCTAATCCTATACACCAGACTTTTTTTTACATCTAGGAAAGACCTCACTGATCCTGGACTTAAACTTCCTTGTCTTAGTCTTTAGAGGAAGTGAACAAGGAAATGAATTTCACGCTGGGAAGGAGAAGGAAACAAACCTACTTGCCAGAGAATGAGAAATAATGATGGCAGTCTGACTACTAGTATAAAGTCTGGGGAGAGAGGGAAAAAGGAAGAGGATTAAGGGACAGAGAGAAAGTATATTACCATTAATATAACACGCTTTACTCAAGTGAAATGCAATAACTCCTGTAGTAGAACACAGCAGATATGGAACAGCTACTCCACAACAGGTTGGAGCGAAGAACTGAGGTTTAGACCAAACTTAAACACCCACATGAAATTTGTTAATACCTATTGCAAACTGCACATTACACTTGGGGACGAGGGGAATTCTAGGCTTATTTTCTATTCCACTTGAAAGCCACCAATTAGCTTCCTTACATATACTGTACAGTCTAAAGAATATTTTCAGGTAAAGCCTATAACAAAACAATTTTCAATGCAACAACACTCACATCACCTCTCCTTTTATTTCATTACTGTATTTAATTGTCCCAACTGCTTATTAAAGAATCAAACTGTATTCCTGAGTGTTTCAGAATTCTTAAACATTTATTTTAGTTCAATAATTATCCCAAATATCATTCGATAATTAAGTGTATTTCTTAAGTGCCTTTCACTTGAATTTCAACCTTTATGCTAATCGCTTGTTCAGAAGTATTCAGACTTCAGATTTTTTTCTGCAGCTCTTCAATTACTAATTATATATAAAACCTCTTACCAAGTAATTAATGATATAAAATCTGTCATATTCTCTATTTTTGGCATTGATTCTGCGATGCTGCTTTTTTCTCATGTGATCTTTAAGTGTGTTTTTGTCTCTGAAGGTTCTCTCACAGTATAAACACTGCAAACTAAGATAAAAAGGTAAACAATGAAAAGACAATATACAATATTGCAAAAGTATATACTGAGAGCCTAAATGATACCCCCAAAACAGTGGAGATATTTTGCATTAAACCACTACAATTTAATAATTTAATGAACTGATGAGATACACACTAAGATTAATTTTAAGAACGTGAAATCAAGCTAAATGAAAAAAGATATCCTACAGAGGTCCAGGACAGAGTCAGACCAGGCATAGTCAGCCAATCACAATCAGGTGACAAGCTAAGAAAGTAGGATTTGATATTTGTTAACCAATGGTCTCTTAGTCTGCATGTAGGCAGGACCCAGCTAGTCAGTCAGAAGGGTTATTTTGGAATAAGTGACATTCTGAAATAAAGTCTACGTCTACATATAAGCAGTTATTTTGAGAGAGAGACAGACAGAGAGAGCTCTCAGAGTGGAATTTTTACCTCAACTGAATGTGCCAAATGCACTTTTTATGCTCATGGCCCAATACTCCACACAAGGGAACATTGGATCTGAGGACCTGGTAACTTGCAGGAATTAAGTAAAAAAAAACCAAAAAATCCAAACAAAAAAAACTCACCTTCTTTCACCTACAAAGTCCAGAACCATTAACCAAGGGTGTTTTGTAACAGCGTGCATTCAGGGAAGATTCAAAGACAGAAATGCATCCAAGGTTTTAAATTTTTAACTCTACTTTGGAAAGGCCACAGCAAGGAGCATGTTCCTACTGGAGGCAGAAATGGCTGATGCACCTCAAAATGTAACAAGTTGTGGGCATTCAGGCCTCTAAAACAAGCAGAGAACCAGGTGGCTGTCCTGCATATCTTGTCATAAGGTGAGTAAAATCTCTGAAGTGAGAAGACTGCTACTGCTCTCAACAAGTTGGAAACGATGCTGTTTGCGGACAGAGACCAACTGTGGGCTTTATGGATGCACTCAATCATCTTGAAGTAGATTTTATTTATCTCTGATGGAAAATAAATGGAGCACTGGATTCATGAAAAACCTGCATGCCATGCATGTAGATCTTGGTGGTTCCATGAACTTCCAGAGGGTATCAAAGCTTCTTCCTTAGGTAACCTCATTTTGGACAAAAGGGAATGATTTCTTAGATTCTGTGGGGGGGGGAGAGAGGGAGTTAACTTTTTGGGAAAAGGAAAGAAGAACCACTTTATCACTGTGGAATATGCAGACGGTTTCTCAATAGATAACGCCCCAAGCTCTGACATCCTTCAAGTGATGGCCATGTCTACCAGGAAGGTCATCTTGATGGAGAAGTAGCATCTGGATGTCTTCTTGACAGGCTCAGAGGGATGCTGAGACAGGCCTTTAAAAAACTAAACAGAGGTCCATTGGCAGCACTTGATGAATCTTAGGAGGATAAAGTAAAGCTGCAGTTGTGAGCAACTGCTTGAAACACAGATGTAAAGAGATTCTCTTCCCACCTATGGAGGACAGTATGCTGGCAGTGATGCCAGACCATTCACTGTTGAACAGTGATGCCCTTAGTCCGGCCCATCAGTAAGAATTCCAAGATGGCAAAGGAAAGAAACTATGTTCCATGCACCACAGCTTGAGCTTCAGCCAAGTTCTCAAACAGGAAGAATGTGTGGAAGATTTTCTAGATGCCAGTAAAGTGGAGGTTGTTCCAGAAGTCCTTCTTATGTGATATCACTTCAACAGCCAGAAAGTTTGTCTTGGGTACTCTCCCTCTACGTGACACCCCGTGATAACTTCTCCCAAGCCCCGTTTCAAGCCCTCTTTTGCCCTCCCCTGCCTCAGGTGCTTCTGGGAAGAGGGAAGGGATCTGAGCTGCTTGGCCTATGTTGCAGCTGGGCTTGAGTATTCCACTGCGGGGTGTGGGAGTGAGTAGAGAGGACGAAGGGGCTGGAGTGAGCCATGCAGAGGAGATCAGAGAACTTGACTCCTTCAGCTAGTACAGAGCCATCAATACTATGTGTCCTCTGCCTCTGGACCTTCTGAATAGTTTGGCTTAGCAGGGAAAAGAAGGCCACCTCCAGGAAACAGCACCTGTGTCTATTGCCCTTGGATCTTTCTAGGGAGAAAAAGAGGAGACCTTACAGTTCATTTGTACTGTAGTGGTAGATCTATTGGGCCTCCCCTGGAGAAGAAGTGCTATGCTAAATCTAAGTCAGTGATGGTAAATCCCAGAATCTGACACTCCTCTACCACATTTAACAAAGACTGGTAGTGACAGAAGGCTGTTCAGAGGTATCAAGCTCTAGTTGGAGGGAATACCTTCAGACTAGAGTTGTAGGAAAACCCAGTGATGGAGCAGCTGGAAGCACACTGATTGGGTCACTGCCTGCATAAGCTGGTAGCAGGCTACTAGGAAAACCCACAGGGAGGAAGAGTCTGTGCTGCCTGCCCATTGCTGATGTCTCCCAAGTCACCTTTTGAAGCCTCTTTAGCCCTTTCTTGCCACAGGTGCTTCTGGAAAGAGGGAAGGATGTGGGGGATTGTGTTGCAGCTGGGCACATGAGCTCCACTGCCTGAGGCGGGGACAGGAGCTGCAGAAGGCAACTACAACTAATGTTTATGTTCTGAAGCAGGAAATCTGGTAAAACTTCCTACACCTATGGATGCAGAATAAAACAAAAACAAAAACAGGTGGGCTCTTCTGCGTGGCTGGCTACATAATTATATGAAGACTGAGAGGCCACTGGTTAATGGTTCTCTTGACCTCATAGACCAAAACTATCACTGATTTATAGGCAAAGTATGGGAGCTATTGGGACCAGTTTGCATTTGTTAATGGAGTGACCTTGAGGGTGTGTCTACACAGCAAAGTTATTTCGGAATAATGGCCATTATTCCAAAATAACTATGCAAGCATCTACACAGCAATTCTGTTATTTTGAAATAATTTCAAAATAATGGACAGCTTATTCTGACTTCTGTAAACCTCATTCTACGAAAAATAACGACTATTCTGAAATAGCTATTTCGAAATAAGGTGCGTGTAGATGCTCCACTTCTGCTATTTTGAAATAACCCCTCACCAGGGCCATTCTAAGTTATTCCTCCTGGGGTTCTGAATGGAGATAGCATGTCTACATTAGGGATGCCTGCCTCAGACTAATTTTGAGGCTTCCCAGCAGCGTAGACGTGCTATTTTGAAATAAGCTATTTCAGAATAACTTTTCCGGAATAGCTTATTCTGAAATAACTGTGCAGTGTAGACGTAGCATCATGAATGTTGGCAAGTGGCTCATCTCAATGAATGTTGTCCAAAGTTCCTTATTTCCAAGGAATCTGGATGGGTTTGTGGTGTAGATGAATATCAGAAGTACTCTAATTCATGCTAACATATTAATTTAACTGACTGACCAGGTTCTCCTATGGATTTTAGTACTTTGTGGATTTATGCTACATCAAACTTTTCTAGCACTATAATATTTAGATAGATGTATCTGTGGTTTCCTTTAGTAATATGTTAACTAATATGGGATAGTGAGAAGTGTCTGTCTCATGATCTCCGAGTTGGATACAAAAGACTGCTCTGCCTCAGAAATGATGCCAACTCCTACTTACATGGAGAGCAAGCAGCCGAAGCAGAGTTTTGGACTCAGATCTCTCACTTTGGAACACACAGAATTACCACTTAGTTGGCAGCACAAGGTTTTCTGATTCAGAATCTTCTAAAAAGCACATTAAGTCATTTTCAATCAGCAAATCATCAATTACTTCCTAAAATTGTACCTGTTTCAAATACAATTTTTTAGTAGCCATGGATACAGTAGCTTTGCCAGTGGGCATATGGCTCAGCTGTCTGCTTTCTGACCACGGGTGACACTGGAAACCAACAATTTCCATGTGTGTACATGTCTGGTAAGAACAAAGGTTCACTTCTCATGTGTGCACTAACGAACCCTTTACTACCCATGGTTATCCATTTTCTCAATACTTAACTGAAGGGAAAGCGAGGGTTTACAGACACCATAATGATCACATCTATAAACATTGTTTCCTGGTTTGTATGATCAAAGATACTGGGAATAGGGATGAAAGTGAATAGTTGACTAGGTTTGTTGGGTAGTCAAGTCAAGTCGCTTTTGCCCTCACCTTCTGTACTCACCTCCATCAGAGGCAGCAAGGTCCTTTGATATAATTCTGCCTTTTAAATATAGTCAGAGCTGCCTGGATCTTACTATATTTAAAAAACAGAGCTGCAGCAGGGTTAGCTCCCAGGGTCAGTTCCCCCCATCGACTATTCGATGGAATTTCCATCAACTACTTGATTAGCTGATTAAATTCTGCAGAACGGGACCTGGGGGTTACAGTGGATGAGAAGATGGATATGAGTCAACAGTGTGCCCTTGTAGCCAAGAAGGCTAATGGCATATTAGGTTGCATTAAGAGGAGCATTGCCAGCAGATCCAGAGATGTCATTATTCCCCTTTATTCGGCTTTGGTGAGGCCGCATCTGGAGTATTGTGTCCAGTTCTGGCCCCCCCACTACAAAAAAGGATGTGGACGCATTGGAGAGGGTCCAGTGGAGGGCAACCAAAATGATTAGGGGGCTGGAGCATATGACTTATGAGGAGAGGCTGAGGGACTTGGGTCTGTTTAGTCTGCAGAAGCCAAGAGTGAGGGGGGATGTGATAGCAGCCTTCAACTTCCTGAAGGGAGGTTCCAAAGAGGATGGAGAGAGGCTGTTCTCAGTAGTGACAGATGGTAGAACAAAGAGCAATGGTCTCAAGTTGTGGTGGGAGAGGTCCAGGTTGGATATTAGGAAAAACTATTTTACTAGGAGGGGGGTGAAGCACTGGAATGGGTTACCTAGGGAAGTAGTGGAGTCTCCATCCCTAGAGGTGTTTAAGTCTCGGCTTGACAAAGCCCTGGCCGGGGTGATTTAGTTGGAATTGGTCCTGCCTAGAGCAGGGGGCTGGACTTGATGACCTTCTGAGGGCTCTTCCAGTTCTATGATTCTATGAAATGCAATTTAACATCCTTAACTGGGAGCATTGCAGAGTTCTTCTAGGATACTTGTTTCCAGGACAGAGCATGAAAAATGCATAGCAGCATGCAGGAGTCTGGTGTAGAGAGATTGACTACGGAAGGAGTCAAAGGAGTACTGCCTTTGATAATGTACGAGCTGTTTAGCAAATAGAGGGCTAAAATGAGAAGTATGAAAATCTGTCAGGAAGTATGAAGATTTCCTAGAAGTATGAAAATCTTGCAATGAAAAGGTATAACATGATCCCGTAACTGGAAACTGAAGCTAGATCAATTGTGACTAGAAACCAAGTGTAATATTTTAACAGTGAAAGTAATTGACCATTGGAACAATTTACTAAGCATTATGGTGAGTTCTCCATCACTGACAATCTTTACATCAAGATTTATTTTGGGGAAGTTCTATGGCCTGGGTATCTATTAATGCCCAGGTACAGTAGCCTTTACTGCACGCATATCTCATTGAAATTAATGAGAGTTCTGTGTGCATAAAGGCTGAAATATCACAACTTTTCTCCATTATCTATGTCAATGAACATAAATTCAAGAAGTGATGAACTAGCCAGAACAAAATTTGAAAAGAAAACAGTATCTTTTCTAAGATTACACCTGTAAGAGCAACATCCTGTGTTTTTAAGTAGCAATGAATGTTCAATTAAATTTTAGCCCAAATTGCTTCCAAGACTAACAGTAAAATGACATAAGGCTAGTTTTTTAAAAAGAAATTACATACTTGTCAAGTTTCTTCTGTAATACATCCAAAAATTCATTACAATTTACAATGTTATCAGGCAGCCCAACATTAAAAGCATGATCTCTTGCCATGTGATTGAAAAGAACGGACCTACAAAAGATATTGAAGAACATTAGATATATATTTACGTATGAACATAAGAATTATTGAGTTAGCACCTTACAATTCTCTACTTGCTTTAAAATGTATACAAGCCATCATCAAAAGCATTAATAATGTTTCTGCTACTGGTAAGAGTGCAATTCGTTTGACTGGATTGAAGTAGAAAAATTATTTTCAGACCTACTACAGTAAAACCTGTGTTATCCAGCACATTCTGGTTATCTGAGGATCTCATCAACAATAATAGTAAAACTCAAGTTTTTAATGTTGGTAGTTTTGTAGTGTGAGGCAGTTGGTCTCACATTTCTATTTTGAGTTAAAGATGATTAGTACTTCTTAAATACAAAATTGTTAAGCCAATCATGGTAAACCAAGCCAGGCCTGTGCGCCTGAGGATGTGACAGTATTGTAGCTGGGGGCAATGCCAGTTACCAAAGTTTTCTGGTTAACAGAGTGCCAGATAACAAAGGTTTCACTGTACATGTTTCAGTAACACTTCAATTTCTTAATTTCAAATGCATGAAACCCAAATCACTAAATAAAACTACAAACATTATTTCTGACCAACATTATTGTTATTATTCTGAGTTAACCTACTAATTTGTACACTGTTTTGAGAAACATTATAAGAGGTCATTTCTCAGCTTGCCTTTTACTGATTAGCAAACAAAAAATTAAGGCTATATTTTGAAATACAGTAAATACTTGTCAAGTTTATTCTGTAATACAGGCAGTCCCCGACTTACGTCGGATCCGCGCTTACAAACGGGGCTTTTCTCGCCCCGGAGCTCACGGGCGGCGGGTCGCCACCCGTGTCTTCCGGGGCGAGAAAAGCTTCTCCCGGTCTCCCTGGTCTGCTGGGGGGGTCCAGTGACTTTGCTGGCCCCCCCCAGCAGACCAGGGGGACAGGAGCAAAGCTGCAGAGCACGCCCGCAGCGGGACAGCCCAAGCGCGCCTGGGCTGTCCCGCTGCGGGCGTGCTCTGCAGCTTTGCTCCTGTCCCCCTGGTCTGCTGGGGGGGTCCAGTGACTTTGCTGGCCCCCCCCAGCAGACCAGGGGGACAGGAGCAAAGCTGCAGAGCACGCCCGCAGCGGGACAGCCCAAGCGCGCCTGGGCTGTCCCGCTGCGGGCGTGCTCTGCAGCTTTGCTCCTGTCCCCCTGGTCTGCTGGGGGGGTCCAGTGACTTTGCTGGCCCCCCCCAGCAGACCAGGGGGACAGGAGCAAAGCTGCAGAGCACGCCCGCAGCGGGACAGCCCAAGCGCGCCTGGGCTGTCCCGCTGCGGGCGTGCTCTGCAGCTTTGCTCCTGTCCCCCTGGTCTGCTGGGGGGGTCCAGTGACTTTGCTGGCCCCCCCCAGCAGACCAGGGGGACAGGAGCAAAGCTGCAGAGCACGCCCGCAGCGGGACAGCCCAAGCGCGCCTGGGCTGTCCCGCTGCGGGCGTGCTCTGCAGCTTTGCTCCTGTCCCCCTGGTCTGCTGGGGGGGTCCAGTGACTTTGCTGGCCCCCCCCAGCAGACCAGGGGGACAGGAGCAAAGCTGCAGAGCACGCCCGCAGCGGGACAGCCCAAGCGCGCCTGGGCTGTCCCGCTGCGGGCGTGCTCTGCAGCTTTGCTCCTGTCCCCCTGGTCTGCTGGGGGGGGAGGGGGGTACAGCTAGTGCCCCCGCTACAGCAGACCAGGCTTTTCTTGCCTACCCCTGGGGTAGAGCAGCTGGGGTGCTGCTGGGTTGCTCCAGTAGCGCCGAGGAGCCGCGCTACTGGAGCAACCCAGCAGCACCCCAGCTGCTCTGCCCCAGGCGTCCCCAAGTCAGCTGCTGCTGAAACTGATCAGCGGCTGATTCCAGGAAGCCTGGGGCAGAGCAACTCTGCCTCGGGCTTCCTGTGGTCAGCCGCTGGTCAGTTTCAGCAGCGGCTGACGCCAGTTCCGACTTACATACAGATTCAACTTAAGAACAAACCTATAGTCCCTATCTTGTACGTAACCCGGGGACTGCCTGTACATTCAAAAATCCATTCTCATGTAATGGGATGTAAATCAGAAATAGGCAGTAAGTCTTTCAAATGGAAGAAATTAATCAAGAAGCTCCCTACTAGAAAACTTTCTTGAAAGGTCAGCAATATTTATTTTTTAGTCATGGTCTTTTCAAAATATTTAGGGAGGATGTCCATTTAATCTACTATATTTTTGAGAGTTCTTGTTTGTTTGGTCATGAACTCCTCCTAAATGGTAAAAGCTAGGACCATCAAATTTGGTTTACAGCTTCCTCTTATCATAACTTAAAGCAAGGTATGGGGTTGGTTGTGCCAGGAAAATGGGATGAACCTGGAATGGGATTGCTACTCAGAAAACCATACAGAAAAGAGATAGAATCACCAGGCAGGTGAAAGGGCCTGGCTGGTGGCAGTCCCCATTCCCCTGTCTGAGACTGACCGATTCCTGAGCCTCTCATCCCCAAGTGCCCTTTAGGGGTAGAGGTAGTGTGTGTGTAGCTTCCCTCACCCCCCAATTGGTACTGAGATGCTGGTGGCTCTTTTCCATCAGGGAGTGAGAAGAAAGTGCACTGTTTGCTGTCTTCTTCAATCTGGCTGGGAAGTGCAAGGAGCATATGAATCTGGACCTGCCCCAATCAGGGGATATGCAGCTCCCCTCCAAATTGTGTCCACTGGAGATGCAGCAAGGCCAGGTGAGAAGCACCTCACCAGGGTCAAGCTGCTGTGGTGAGAGCTCTGGGGTAGTCATCTCTCCCTTGGTGGGATGTAAAATTTTGATTAACTGGCTAATCAATTAGTTGATGTCATTTGCATTGACTATTTGATTAGACAATAAGGGCACCTCTGCCTTTGAAGTGTAGCAACAGCCCCAGTGAAACCGTCTCCTTCTGGCTTTGTGCTCCCTGTGGCATTTCAAAGGGGCAGCACCGCATGGAGCCCAGGGTCAGCTGGGGGCTCCAAGTCCCGTGGTGAGCCCAGCGGCTTCATACAGCACTGCCACGTTGAAACGCAGTGGGGAGCCCAGCATCAGGTCTGGCCCCAGGTTACATGCAGTGCTGCTGCTGCTTTGAAATACCTCTCCCCCTGCCTTTTGCCCCTCCTGGCTGCCTCCATCAGAAGAAGGCAGCAAAGGTGGGGAGGGGGAAAGTGACTTGTCAACTAGCAAGGGGGAGCTAGTTGTTCATATCATATCACATCACATCAGCCTGCTTACTGAACCACTCATCCCTAGCCCCATTTCAGAACAATAATTTAAATGAAGCCTGTATGTTTTAATTTTATTTTCCAAAACACAAAGATTGAGTTAAGGACCTGAACAATTCCAAGTAAATCTTCTAGTATTTTTAAATAATCCTCATTCAGAGGACTTTTAAAGTCCTTCCACCTCATTATCAGTTCCACATTCTACATATTTATTCATATGACATTTCATATTTCTTTCTTTTATATATTCCCATTAGGTTTCAACATCCATTTGAGGCTTATTAGAGAAAGGTCTCTTCAAATGCTGATCATTAGCTTGGTCATATCTGGTGTGCGAAAGTTGCACAGACTCCTAATCTCCCGGCTAAACAACACTTCCAGTTCTTTAGTGTGTAGGATACAGAGGTCTGGTTCCAAGAATCACATCAGAATCCTTCCCAAATTGCAGACCCTAACTGTTATGCCTTTGAGCTAATTTGAGGATGTCTCAAAAACAATGAACAACAGATAGGGTCAATGAATAGTCAATCAAGAGGAAAACAATAGTACATATACTCAAACTACAAACCTGTTTCCTGTGAATTCTTTATCACAAAACATACATATGTTATGAAAATTTATATCATCTCTTTCACGCTGTTGTTGAGCCAGGATTTCTCTCTGTGTAAACAGAAAAAAAAGTATTTGAATGCCAAACCTTAAAAAATAAAAAACAAGTTCGGTAAGATCATTCCATCAATTTTTTTTTAAATTTTTTGGACTATTCTATCGTGTCTTATCTTAATTAACCATTAATACACAATAATGAGAATATACAGCTGAATCTTGACAATAGAAAGATTTCAACATCTATAATGGTACTGTACAGTCCAGAAAAGCTTTGAAATGCCAATAATGCAGTACAGATTAGATGGAAAGAAATACCATTGACAATGAGATTTCTTCATCCTCAACAGTTTAAAGACTCTATTGAGGAACACAGTAACTGGATTTACTTTAAGGCTCAAATTTAGACATGGTATTAATAGGTGCAATGGTACTATATATGTTTACACTTAATTCAAATTAGCTCCTCAAAGTCCCAACAAACACAAACAAGGTGAGGACATTTTTAATATAAGCAGATATCATAAAGGTGGACTGAGTTCCTACTAGCAGGTACAGGGTTGAAGAAACAAACTGGAAAAGTGAAACTCTACTATCTTTGTCATTAGCCTCTGACCTAGAATGACAAGCTGGGAATTGCGCAACAATGTGCTCACACTTTGCTAACAGAAAAACAACAGAAAAGCTTTGTAACAAATCATACCCTGACTAAACATAATAGTTACTAGGGGGCTGCATTCTATGCTTACTATGCTTGCCAACTCCCCTCTTTCTGGCCGCTTTCATGGCCAGAGAGCTTGATGATGTCATTCCATCACACGGCAGAAAAAACTTTATGTATAAAGAGAGAGGTTTCAGTAACCATAATGTAGTTATGTCTGAGGTGCCACTTTCATTCTATGCATTTCAGGACCACAAAGCTTGGAAAACTTAACCTTGTGTCTCAAATTTCTTATGCTTTTTCTCAGCCCAAAAGATGTATTGGTAACTAGTTCATTGTCTGTGCAGAGCAGAGCTGCAGCATTCTTCAGAATGCTCCTTCTCTGAGAACAGCTAGTTCTGCTCTCTGGAGAGTGCAGGGATGTAACTTGACAATATAAAATAACTTAGGTTATGTCTGCACTACAGTAATAGCTATTTCGAAATAACACGTGTACACACAAAAAATGCATTTCGAAATAGCATTTTGCAATTTTGAAATAGCACGTCCACACTGAGTGGACACTGAATCGCATTTACGGCTGGCTGTAACCAGTTTCAGCAAAGCACCAGGTCAGGACTTATTGTGTGGGGCTGCTGCCTGAGGACTGTGCTTAAAGGGACCCGCCCAGACAGCCAGTTCTCAGGTTCCCCTGCTTTCTTGTCTGCTTCAGTGAGGGAGAGCAAAGCATTTTGTCTCTGCGTACTCTGGTTGCCCTCACTCGGGACACCACAGCTCTCTGAACATGGAGCCAGAGCTGCACCTGGGCACTCTGGTGCTTCTCTTGGACATGTTGCTGTGAGCCTGGCTGCACTTGCTGCAGGCTGCCATCCGGGAGGTCCATCGGGGGGCTGTAAGTATCCAGGAGGCCCTGCGGGAGAACGCCACCCTGAGGAGTACTAAGAGCCTCCCTGATCTGCCCACTGGGGGTTGTGCCTCATTCCTCCCTCACGTCCTTTCACTTACCCCTCCTTAACCCCCCTTCCTGATGTCAAATAAAATACACGTATTTTCATGAACACAAACTCTCTTTATTTAACAAAACTAGGAGCGGGGAATGAAACTCTGGTGAGACTGGGGAAAGGAGGCAGGAGAGGGGAGAAGAAGGGTGGAAGAGGGGAGGGGGAAACGTGGGAGGAGGGAGCTGGAAGGGGGAAGGTGCGGGAGGATGTCCTGGGCGGGGTGGTGCACCCTGCACTTACAGTTGGTGCAGCTATGGAGAAACCAGACAGGTGGTCAGTTCTCCCTGGGGACACAGTGGGTGAAGCCCCCCCTCTGCAAGGTGAGGACAGCAGGTCTCCACACTATCATGTCCTGCTAACCCCAGGAGCGTGAGCTGGCCCGGGACTGTACCCATGCCCCTGTGCTGGGGGGG